GAGGGCAGTGTCACTGGCCCTCATATGTGGGATCCGAACCGGGGCCCTCTGGCATCCCAAGCCAGTTCTTAACCATCGCGCCACTCGGCCGGCCCTGAGAAGTTTTTTTTTTAATGTAGGCATTTACAGCTATAAATTTTCTCCTGAGCATTGCTTTCACTACATCTCGTAAGTTAGTTATATTTCTATTTTTGTTTATCTCAAGTATTTCCTGATTTCTCTTGTGAGTTTTTTTGTTGTTGACCTATTGGTTATTTAGGAATGTGTTTTTTAATTTCCATACATGTGTGAATTTCCCAAATTTCCTTCTGTTATTGATTTCTAATTTCATTGCATGTGGTTGAAGAACATACTTGGTATGATTTCAGCCTTTTTACCTTTATGGAGACTTGTTTTATGACCTAACATACAATCTATCCTGGAGAATGTTCCATGTGCACTGAAGAAAACCGTGTATTCTGCTGTGATTGAGTGCAGTTTTCTATAAATGATTGTTAGGTCTAGTTTTATAGTGTTGTTCACTAGATTTCCTTGTTGATCTTCTCTCTAGTTGTTCTATCCATAATTTAAAGTGGGATGTTTAAGTCTCATACTATTGTTGTTGTATTGTCTATATCTCCTTTCAATTCTGCTAGTTTTTTGCTCCATGTATTTGGGGTACCTGTTTTTAGGTGCATATGTGTTTATAATTGTTGTATCTTCTTGATGGCTTGACCCTTTTGTCATTATAAAATGTTCTTCTTTCTAGTAACAATTTTGTCTTAAAGCTTATCTTGTCTGATGTTAGGATAGCCACTCCAGCTCTTCTTTGGTTACTGTATGCACAGTATATCTTTTTCCAACTTTTTACTCTCAGTCCATTTGTGCCTTTGAATCTAAAGCGTGTCTCTTGTAGACATCATATAGTTGGATCATGTTTATTATTCATTTTGCTAATATCTGCCTTTTATGTGTTTAATTCACATTTAACGTAACCACTGATGAGAGATCCCATGGAGACAGGGACCATGTGGAGAAAAATCACGATGCCTCAGTTGACAGCCAGGACCAAGCTATTGCAGAAGGGAGTCAACTAAAGTACTTACAAGTGTGATCTCTTGGAGTCAACCTGCCTGGTTTCAAGAACTAATTATAGGTCTGTGAATAGGTCTGTGCTGTGACCTTAGGCGGGGTGCTTTTCCTCACCATGTCTCATTTTCCTCATCAGTAAGATAGAGATAAGAATGGTGCCTACCTCATAGGGTTGTCTTAATGAATAAATAGTATAATCCTTGAAATTCACTCTATTAGTTATCTATTGCTGTGTAACAAGCCATCTCAAAACTTAGTGGCTTAAAATAGCAACTGTTTTTCTTTTTTCACAATTCTATAAGTCAGAAATTCAGGTAGGGCTTAATAGATATATCAGTCTGGGTTTACCAGACAAACAGAACCAGTAACCGATTATGGAATTGGCTCATGTGATGATGGAGGCAGAGAAGTCCCTAGATCTGTAGTCAGCAAGCTGGAGACCCAGGAGAGCAGATGGTGTAGTTCCAGTCTGAGTTTGAAGGCCTGAGAAGCAGGAGAGCCAATGGTGTAAACTCCAAGTCTGAATTCAAAGGCAAGAGAAGACTGATGTCCCAGCTCAAAGACTGTCAGGCAGAGAGAGAGAGAGAGTTCTCTCTTACTCTACCTTTTTGTACTATTCAGTCCTTTAAGAGATTGGGTGAGGGGATAAGGCCCACCCACATTTGGAAGGGCCATCTGCTACACTCAGTCTACCTATTCAAATATTAATCTCATTCAGAAACACTGTCACAGAAAATGTTTGACCAAATATCTGGGCAGTCTGGGGCCCATTCAAATTGACACATACAATAAACCATCACAGCAGGGGTAGCTCATCTGTACCACATGTGCTCAATTAGGACTGGAGGATCCAAGATGGCCTTACCTACATGTTTGGAGCCTTGACACTGGCTGTTCTCCAGGTGGCATCTCTCCATGTGGCCACTGTCTCCAGCAGAATGACTTGGTCTTCTTTACTCTTGGAGGCTGAATTCCTAGAGCAAAAGAGGAAGTTATAAGCTCTCTTAAAGCCAGAGCTCAGAATTCCCAAAACCTCATTCCACCACAGTCTGTTGATCACAGCAATTCACAAGACCAGCCCAGATTCGAGGGGAGGGCAAATAATGGACTCCACCTCTTGGAGTGGGAGGAGTGGCATGGATGTCCAGGGAAGAAGTGTGGTGACCATCTTTTCAGGCAGTGCACCACAGTCAGCTTTTTGGTGACTACAGTTCGTATCCTTCCCACATGCAACATACAACCTCTCGTCATCCAGACCTCCAAAGTCATATTCATTTTGTTTTAGTTATCTATTGTGTAACAAATCACCCCAAAGTCTAGAAGCTTAATGCAACCACTGTTTTATTGCCAATAATTAGCAGGGTTTAGTGGAGACGGTGCATCTCTGCTCCACGTGCTATTGTCTCCTGTGCCTGGACTGGACCTAGAAGATCCAAGATGGCCTCACTCACTTGTCAGGGAACTTGGTCCTGGCTGTTGAATGAGGTATCGTGATTGTTCTCCACATGGACCCTGTCTCCATGGAATTTCTTATCATTCAGAGGTCTAGGCCAGACTTCCTTACATGGCGGCAATTCCAAGATGAAGGCAGAAGCTGCTAGGCCGCTTAGGCCACAACCAGTTGAATGTCATTTTCACCACATCCCAGTGGTCAAAGCAAGTCACAAAGCCAGCCCAGATTCAAAGCGGAGGAGAAACAGGCTCCACACCTTGATGGGAGGAGTTGTTAGCAGCGGTCGCTGCAGGTAATCTACCACAAGCACCTAGACAGTGTTTGTCACACAGTAAGAAGTGGAGATACACAAAACCTATTCATGCCATCCCTGTGCCTGCCCAAAATTCCATCATCAGAGACAGCATTAGCCCAACTCAGATTTTATCCGTTTGGACACCTGTCCTGGTCGTCATCTACTCCATGCCCTGTGCCTTTTCTGGGTATAAACAGAAACCCTAAGGTTTAATCCATCCAAGTCATTATCGTCTCCTCTTGAGCTACTGAAACACCCTTCTCATTCTTGCCCTACTCTGGAATGTTCTCCACACAGGAGCCAGAAGGATCTTATTAAAATATACATCACACCATGTCACTCCAGTGGTATTCCATTGTGCTTATAATGAAACCCAATGTATGTCATAATCTGGCTCCTAGCACCCTCTCCCTACATGCCTTCTTCCATTCTTTCCATGCTCATTTTTTCCCAGCAGTCCTGGCTTTCTTGCTGGTCCTCAAACACATAAAGAGTGCCCTTCCCTCAGAATGCAAGCATGGCTGTCCTCTTCACATCACTCAAATCACTGCTCACAGGTTACCTCCTCAGAGAGATCTTCCCTGACCGCCCTGCTCAAAAATAGCATCCTCATCTCAACCCTGAACACCCTGTTCCTGATGCAGCTTTATTTTTCTTCATAGCACCCCTAGAATTACCTATATTTTTTTTTATTTATAGTGTCTTCGCCCACTAGAACATAAGCTCTAGAAGAGCATGGACTTTATTCTCCCAAACGCATAAAACAGCACCCAGCACCTAATAGGCACTCAGTAAATATGTACTGAATAAATGACAAAACCTGGGGTCGACCTGTGGCTAGAACAATGGGAAGGCAAGGAGCAGTGACCTTGACAGCATCGTCCTGCCCTATCCTGTGCACTTCAACTCAAGTATTCTAATCTTATCACTGGTTTTCACAATCCCACTATGGTGTTTCAGAAAAGGGAACTGGCAAACTGAGGGGATAAGTTGGGGACAATGGATGTGGGCAACTGTAAGATGCAGTTGGGAAAGGACTGTAACGGGCCCTCAGTCTGGAACCTGTGGTCCATGCAGACAGTCCTAGGATGACGATTGTCCACTTTTGTCTTATGTATACTATGTGCACCATCTTTCTGCCAGAGACAGCTTAGGCATGTCCTACGGCAATGAGGAAATAGGGAAAGAAGATCACAAGAGGCAAGAAAGTAAAGAAACAAACATGATTGCATACCTAGTACCTGCTGAGCAGTTTTACATGTATTATCCCTTCAGCTCTCAAAACAACAGGTATGGGCCGGCCGAGTGGCTCAGTTGGTTAAGCGCTTGCTCAAGAGTATGAGCTCTGAGCAACAGGGTCACCGGTTCGATTCCCAGCCCAAGCTGAGCTGCCAACAGATGGCAGGATGGCTCAGCTAAAAAAACAAAACAAAACAAACAAACAAAAACAGGTATTAGTCTTCATTTCATTGATATGGAAACCGTACAGCAAGATGAATAGACATTGTCTGCTGATGTCAGGTGGATGTGCCAGAAGCAAGTTTGCTTCGATAGGTACCCGGGGTTTCTCTTCCTCTCTGCCTGCCGCTACAGAAAGCCTAGTGTGTGTCCCGCGATGACACCCTATTCCTGTGCAGTGTTGCTGAGTTGTTTGCTCTTCCTCACAGTGGTGTCCTGTGGCCATCCGGGCTCCCCACCTCATTCCCAGATGTCCGGGGACAACTATACCGTGGGGGCGGTCGTGCGTTACAGTTGCACCGGCAAGCGGACCCTGGTGGGAAACGCCACCCGCATGTGTGGGCTGGATGGACACTGGACAGGCTCCCTGCCCCACTGCTCAGGTACGGGGCCTGGCATGGGGGAGAGGGGTCCAATCAAACATGTAGCTGAGGGGAGATGGACGATCTCCCAAGGTGTGAGTGTGACAGATGGACAGGAGGGAAGCAGACCTTTTGGACCCTCATCCCATGCCTCATGGCAGAGAGCACAGCGATTAGAGGTCCCAACTGGACTTCAGCCCCTGGTGATCTGAGCCCAGTGTCATCCCCTCAGCTGTGGCCACGCCCATACAGCCAAGGGATTGCAAAGTAGGGAGGTACAGCTATGCTTACAGTTTAAGGTTCCCAGAGAATCCTGTCTCCCAAAATGAAGGGCACTGCCAGAATATTGAACCAGATATTAATTAGGTCTCCCCAGGAAGGAGAAATTCCCAAAGTGCTGGCCACTGTTCCAAAGGACAGTTGGCTTCCCAGGACAATCTCATACATGTCACTCTATTTTCACCAGGGCTTTGGCCGCTCACGCCTATCAAGCTCATTAATCACCCATCTTATGAATTGGGCAGAACTAGGTATGAGCCATGGGACTCCTTTAACCTGAACTAGAGGAAGGCCGCTCGTTCTGTTTAGACTACTGGTGGAAGTGACCTGGGGAGGATGACACGGGGAGGATAAGGGTCATGTATATTGAGGTGTTCTCGGTTGTTCAAAGAGCAAGTTGCAGGAGAAAGAGGCATTCCAAAGAGGAAAGGCATGCATTTCTGATCCAAAGGCCCATCAACGCCTGCATTTGCCCCAGTCTCTTCTGTAAATAATCCCTTTGCATAAAGCTCCTCCCTCTAGACACTTCTCTAGGACATTAGGCAAAGGGTGCTCTCAAAGTCGTTTAATCTATTTGGCGGTCTTTGTTCACCATGGAAAAGGGAAGTAAGTGCAGGGTAGAGGAGAAAGAAACCACAGAGAAAACCCTGAGCACCTCCTACCCAACCACACCATCATTCTTCTGGCCCATGGTGTGGGATCCAATGTCTTTTCCTACAAACCGTAATCTCCCTTTTGTGGAATTGTGTTAGCAGAGGCTGGGAAATGACCTACTGGGAATATTACAGAAACGATTCTTGTCTAGAGTATAAAACTAAGCAAGAAACCCTGCAAAACTCTTTCGATCCTAAGATTTCAGAATTTTGTGACTTCCTAAATATTGGTCCTGCCAGGAAGATGGGGTCTTCCTAACCACATCGAAGGTCAGTAGGGTACTCTTAGAAGTCAGCTGACACCTTGGGAGCATGAAAAAGTAAGGAGGAGGAGGGGAACCTTCAGGGAACGTGGAGCCCACTCATTAGGGGATATATTGCATTCAGCTGTTTGATCCCTGCTCCTGGGTATTCTGAGGAATAGTTAGCAGTCTCATTTATCCTGTGTGTATGCATCAAGGATGACAGATGCTTAGGCAACCAGAATCATGGGCAGAGCTTTCCTGGAGACCTCCGAGGGCAGGATTAGAAGGGATCCTATAAATGCTAAGTCTGAGGAATGAATGAATCTTAAATGCCTTGAATAAGAAAATGGGAGATGAGAACAGGTAATTAGGAAGCCAATGCTAGGTGTGTCCTGGTGAGCCAAACATTATTCTCCCCTCCTGAAACTTACAGATGTGGTCTTATGCAACAGCATCTCCTGCCAGTCCTAAGAAATACACATTCAAGAGTTCCAGGGTCAAATATTTGAACCTCATTCTCTATAGTCCTTTCACCCAGATGACGCATAACAAAATATCCTGAGTCCTTCCCTGAGTCATAAGTCCCTGGGCTACCAAGGACATGCAGAGATTTCCTGCATTTGAGACATACTTTGGAAAGTTCATTGCTGATATGCCTCTTCATTAAGAGTCACCAGTTGCCATCTGCCTCCATGGTACAATATTCTGTCCCAGACTCCCTTATATCATTGAATTAGAAGCTCCAAACACTGTAGCAGTGGAGGTCATTCTGTCAGATAAGCCCCCAAGACTAGAAAGTTCCACCCTCAGGCCTATTTTACAATATTGCTGGCCCAGCTGAGGTCAGCTAGCCAGTGTGGTTGTTAGATACTCACCATTAGGGCTGCCTTCCAGGGACCCAATATTGCCTGTTGCATGAGCTACCTCCTGGAAAACTTCAAAAGATAAGAAAACCTGGCCAATGTCATGGACCCTCTTTTGTCAAATGTTTGAGTTGAAGGCTGAATGAATCCCCCTTCCTTGGCAGGGAGCATAATGGGGAACATGGTGTTTTCATAGTCTGAGATTAGACTAGATAACGATGTCATTCCAGGATTGAGAGGAAGAGACATAAGTGGTAAATGGTGGTGTGCATGACTTACATGTTTCTTTACTCCAGCAAACTAAATGTGGTCACTCAGATGCTGCCATTTGATGCCCACACATGTGGGGTCATGAGGAGATACATTCCACATCAGTTGTCAACTTCACCTTCTCATGCAGTTGCCATGTATCCCTTAATTTTCCTCTCCCTTCCTCATGCTAACCATGGCCTCCTCTGATCCAGGGATGTCCCTTACACATCTCTGTATTGTGAGATGGGTTGGCTCCCACAGGCACTAGATCTTGTGGCTTTGTCTCCTGTCCTTTACCTTCCTCCACCTCTTGGGTGGGTTTGTACAATATCAGAACCCAGATCATGGCAGAAATGCAGCAGGAGGCAGGGGGCAAAGAAAGACTGAAATGAGAGCGTCTACGATCCTTAATCCAGAGCGCACCTGTGTTGTGTAATTTGTGAGCAAGGACTCCTCAATTAGAGAATCAGGATTCAAGCTGGGCTGTTGAGAAGGTGAGACTGTGCTAAGGAGTTGGGACATTATCCCACAGGCACTGGGAAGCCAGTGGAGATGTTTCAGCAGGAAAGACATCAGATCAGATTGGTGGTGGTGGTTCATTGTTAAGATTTAAGGATAAAACGGAAGATGGATTGCAGGGAGAGTCTAAGAGGAAGCGCCATTAGTGAGGAGGCTCTTGCAATAGTTCAGGCAAGAGAGAGCTGAGCACCTGAGCTAAGACAGCGTAACTGGGAATGGAGAGGGTACCCTAGAATCAGCAGACATTAGTGGGAAAGAGGTAAAAAGGAGAAGGCGGAGATGCCACCAGCTTACACCACTGACATTTCACCCTGGCGCAAGTCAAAGAACGAAGGCATGATCTCCCATAAAACCCTCCCTATGCCTTCTTTCTCCCTTGCTGTGTGGCCCTCAGGGACTTACCTGTGACATCGGACCTATGTGTTCTCTGACCACTGAGTAGTAAGGCAGGAGCCTGTCCAGGTACATCAGCCTGGACACAGTCAGTTTCACCCTCCCTCATTCATGGGGCCCACTGCCTCCCCTTAATAGCCCAATATCTTTCTCTCCTAGTCCTCCACTCCCTTTTCATCCATGCTAAAAATAATGGGGTTGGTTTGGCTCTGATCCATAGGAACCAGCGTGGGAATTTGTGGTGATCCTGGGATCCCGGCCCATGGCATCCGTTTGGGGGATAGCTTTGCCCCAGGAAGTCTGATGCGCTTTAGCTGTGAAGCTGGCCATGCTCTCCGGGGATCGTCAGAGCGAACCTGCCAAGCCAACGGCTCATGGAGCGGCACACAGCCTGAGTGTGGAGGTAATGTATGTGACCATTCTGCTTCTCCCCTTTGCCTACCCTCATTTTCCCACTGTCAGGCACCTGCTGTCATAGTCACAGATAAAACCCATGGCCCTCTTTCAACCCTTAGCCTTGTGGATAGTGGGCACCAACAGATAGTTCACGTACATTCTTATTAGTACTCTACAGACAGCTGTGTTCCCCACCCTCTCCCAAGAAGGGAAGAAACTGGAATAAACTAAGTTCACCCCATGTAGTCACTTACTTCCTGTATAGTTTTAGTCAACAACCATGTGCCAAATACTGTAGAATGTGCTAAGGACACAACGGTGACCGAGACAGACACACCGTGCTCTCTTGGAGCTTACAGGTAAAGGGGAGAGGCAGTGTTAAAGACACATTCAAAGTGCCAAAAGAAAGAGAAATCCAATTTTTAAAAACCCTTTAAAAGTTATATAAACTCTGAATATTGTTCCCTGAGGTAGCCCCAGTGGGAAACATTCTATTTCTCCACACACTCCAAAATTTGTGAAAAAACCCTTTTGTAAAACTTCTCCTCCTGGACTCCAACTTCCTGTAGCTGCTCCCCAAATCCCTCTGTCTCTAAAGTACAGCCTGCATAGCACGCTCCTATTCAGGTAGCAGTTTAACAGCTGAGAGCAACATGGCTGCGAAGATGTTAGAAGAGGAAGGAGACAATATAAATCATCATCTAGCAAGAGAGGAGTGGGAATGGAATAGGGAAATACATAATTGCCAGGCAGCACCTAGGGCTCACTTAAGGTAAGAGGCCATTGATTTAAAGTGAGAGCAGTCGGCCCTGGTCTAGGTTTTTGTTTAACCACATATTGCTACATAGGTGCAAGCACAGGGTAGGTGAAGCATTAGGTGTGGGACTGGGATTTTATCAGGCAACTAAGGCATCAGCACAAAGTGGCATGGGAGATGGGGGTATACGCAAAGCAGTGATTATGACTGTTCTTGGCATCTAAGCTAAATAAGGGAGTGAGCAGGTTTAGGAGTGGAGTAAGAGGCAGGGGCAAAAATGGTAGGATTGATGGATTATAGGTCCCAGTAGAACCAGGAAATCACCAGAAAATGAATCCCAGAGGGAGTGAGCTGAAGAGATAAGAGGCAGTGGTTAGCGAACAGGCTGTCTGAAGTTGGGATTGTGGAGCAGTCCTACGGAGCATGGAGAGGTGTTCTGGCCCATGATCAGAGGACACCTGCCCAGGAGATGGTACAAATGGAGTCGGTGCTCTCCCACTTGTCTGCCCCAAGTCCTGCCTTTCTAGGTGCAAAGTTAGTTTCTGTAGGGTTTTGTAGACATAGTAAGAAAGGTCGGTGGTAGTGAGAGTCGGTGGTAGTGTATTGGCAAGGAGAAAATTTAATATATTCTCAAATATCCACTGTGACCCAGGTCCCCTTTCATGCCACTCAGATCACAAGATGGTGTTAGTCAATAGGTAGGCAGTGTTCAAGGAACAGAAAGTAAGTGGCTAGCAGTCTGGACCTGAAAGCAAATGTTTGTTGAGTGAGCGTTCGTTTGTATGTAACATATACACAGTGTTTTTATGACTTCCCTTGATAAGCTCCCACTTATCCTTCAAGGCTCTACTCAAATGCTTATCTCCAGTCCCAATGAGATGCTCCCTTATTAGTGCTTTTCTGCCCCCATCAAGTATAACTCTTATTACATCATACTTTAATTCATCTGTTTATAGGTAAGTTCTTAAGATAGATTGAGCTCAAGAACAGGGGACCTAACTTGGTCGTCATTACGTTCCTGGGACTTAGACACACAAATACTTGTTGACTAGATGGATGTTAGGGCTTATCTGTTATGTTAATTATATAGGAATCATTTTGTAGATTTGACTTTGAGACCATGTAAATGTTGTACATACTTACAAAATAAAATTTAATCAAAGATTAGAAACAAGTAATCTCTACATATCAAAATCGAAATGGAAACTAATGAACTTAATTATGTATCAAATTGGTGATTTAATAACCCAGGGAATAACTACAACTGACTTGAAAAAATGAAATTTGAGTATGGTATCTATGTCCTAAGGGAAAAGAGAACTGCAATGAAATTTTAAACTGTTTTCAGCAATCATATTGTTAGTAATAATATTGATATTACTATTCTGAAACCATTGCATATATAAAATACCATAGTATGTATGGATAAAACCAATTTAAATTATTTATTGTCATTAAGAACCAAGATTTGCAGCATAAAAGAGATATAACACAAAAATTAAAGTTAAGGAAACTCTTAATTCTAAATTTGGATTGGTAATGTCAGTATAAACTCATAATGTATTTTCAGTTTGAAAAGTTATTTTCCCCCATGCTGTCCTCTCTGAAAGTCTCGAATCAATGACCAGCTCCGTAGCAAATGAGTACCCTTCCTGCGTAGATGGTGGTTTCTACATTTGTTCCCCACTAAAAGCAGCCAGAGCTCTTTACGGTAATGGCTGATTCCAAGCCTGGGGCAGGAAATACGCAAAATAAACTTAGAAGATGTTGTCACTCCAGCAAGGAATTGACCAAAGACGAATGGGGTCATGTCAGAGAAACTCGGGAGCCACCCTGAGGAGGCTCTCCCTAGCCAAAGATGGGACAATTTGGGCGTCAATAAGAATAATAGTGACAATGGATAGTGACATAGTAAATAAGTTTAAGTCCATGAGTTCAAATGATTGTCGGTCACCTTTGGAGCTTGCTAAGGAACCAACTCATTATCCTCACATCTGATTTAAAAAACAATGCAGCACTATCCAGCCTTCCTGTATGAATTGTATTTCAAAGCAAATATTTGTCGATGGGCAAGTTCTTTATTAAAGTCTAGTGTATGCAGAAAGAACTACAGAATTTTCTATTCCCTGATGAAATAACAAGTCTAGTCAACAACCAATTGCTGCTAAAACCATGAAGTGAAAAACCAATGGGAACTTTATAATGCCAGATTAGGTGGGCAACCTTTAACCTACTGAGCAGCCTCGACATCAGGAACAAGGAAACAACCAGACATTTTGTGCCTCCTGATGTGACGTAATAAAAAAACACAAAACCGCCTATGAATTACCCTGACCACAGGATCTACAGGGGACATAGGCAGGCGTTGAACTACACCTCCTTGGTGCAATTAGCAAAATCCAGAAAGTGGGGAGTTCTACCAGATAAGAGACTCTTAGAGACGTGCCAACCGAATGTCGTGCATGGGCCTTATTTGGGTCATGAGTCAAGCAAATCAACTGTAAGAAAGAGAAAGAGACAATTGAGGAACATTAAGCACTGATTGGATATTTGGAGATATTAAGGAATTGTTTAAAGTTTTAGGAGAATAAAACAGATAGAGTCCTTATGTTTTAGAAATTCGAAAACAAAAATCATACAGGTCTCTCCCTGCCTTCTGAGGGTGAGATGATCAGACATGAAAACAGCACGAGAGGCATTTCAATCCACAGGGTCCTTATGCAGCACGTGTTTCCACGCTGAGCAGTTCTCAGTCCCCCAGGTGACACCTGCTTTGTTCTGGTGAATAATGTGCTCTTTTGGTTTCCTAGTGATCTCTTGTGGGAACCCTGGGACTCCAAGCAATGCCCGAGTCATGTTCAGTGATGGCCTGGTTTTCTCCAGCTCCATTGTCTATGAGTGTCGGGAAGGCTACTACGCCTCAGGCCTGCTCAGCCGGCACTGCTCGGTCAACGGCACCTGGACAGGCAGCGACCCAGAATGCATAGGTGAGATCCCAGGCCCTCTGGGCTCCATGGCAACTGATGGCAGAAGCCACTGGGCTCCTCCCTGTCGAAGAAGAAGGCTATCCATGGCGATTGGGAAGGCTGGCTGGAGTGGTGGGACTTGGCCCTGAAGGAAAACCAGACAAAAAGCCTCTATGTATAGAGCACATTCTGTGTGACCGCCATTGAGCTAAGTGCTTTATTGTATATGCATTATGTCATTTGATTCTCACCACAGCCCCATGAAATAGCTACTATTAGCATATATGAGATGACTGAGGCTCAGAGAGGCTGAGATGTATAGGCTTGCTGTTTCTCAGGCTCTAGCCAGTTATTTGGGCTTTCTTTTTCTCTTTGGGAGCAAACCTCCAGTTCTCAGCCACTCCAGTTCTCTTTCCACTCTAACACTGCCGTCGTCCACCGTCTTTGTTAGGTCCTTCTCTGCCTTGGACTCGTCCCCACCGTGGCCTGGCTCTCAGGCATGGTACGGCTCCACTGCTCCCCTTTCTTGCTTCTCTCCAGGACAGCCCCACACCCTTTTCCTTGGAAAGCGAGTAACTGTGGGGCCCAGATGGAGGGAAGTGATAAGATAAGGGAATCTGACCACAGTCTCCCTTTCCAAGGCCTCATCTTTGATTTCAGGCTCTATCTGAAATCCCATGTCACGTTCGTTTTTGTTCTGAGGCCAGAGTTCACCATCCCCCACCCTCACTTGATCCCATAACATAGGTATTAGCATTGCATGGGTCATAAGAGCCTGCTTCCTGCTTCTAGGCCACTGGGCTTACAGAGGCCTCCTAGGCAGAACAGCAGGTGAAAAGATGTATCCCCACCCCCGGCAGACAAATTGTCTGTGTGGTCCATGAACACATCTTAGGCTCTTCAACCTGGAAGTATTCCTCTCCCTGAGCCTCAGCCTCATTTAGGAACTCAGCCCCCTGGGTACTTTCTCGTAGAGGAGTGGGTTTGACTAAGAAGGATAGTCTTCATAGCCCAAGTTTCTGGGGTGCATAAGGATGGTGGAAGCAAGGAGAATGGGGATGCATGAAGACCCTTGCAGGGAGACGTGGCCCAGTGGACTTTAGAATGGGCAGTGCCCAACAGGGAGCCTGTGAGGGGACAGGGCATTCCTGATCTGACAGTTCCCCTTCCTGGACATGTGCAGGGAGTGATAGGAGTGATATTAGAATGCTGGGGAGAACGGGGGTGTGGACCGGGAATGAACATTGCTGTATCTCCTCATCCTAGTTATCAACTGTGGTGACCCTGGAATTCCAGCCAATGGCCTCCGGCTGGGCAATGACTTCAGGTATAACAAAACTGTGACCTACCAGTGCGTCCCTGGCTACATGATGGAGTCACACAGAGTGTCTGTGCTGAGCTGCACCAAGGACCGGACATGGAATGGTACCAAGCCAATCTGCAAAGGTGCGTCTGAGCGCTGCAGATGGGGACAGAGGGCCAAAGGAAATACAAAGCTGAGACATGGGCCTTGACCATGGAGGAGAGAGGGGTGCAAGGCAGAGCCCTAACGTCTTAACAGGGGATGTGTGAGAGGAGGATTGGTCCCTGAACATCTGCAAGGAGGGGGTCAGAAGGTACCAAGGGAAGGCCTGGGCTTTAAGCATCAAGGAGAGGGCCGTGCAGAGGACTGGGTTGTCACACGTGAGAGAGGGCGTTGTACGGTGCAAAAAGTCCTGAAATAAGAGGGGTTATTTCTGATTCCTCCTGCTCAACCCAGACTCCCAGCAGACCTCAGTGCTGGTGCCTGGGGCCTGGTTTCCCCAGGATGGCACCAGAACTCAGCCTGCTTTGGTCTCCCCGCAGCCATCATGTGCAAGCCACCTCAGCTCATCCCCAACGGGAAGGTGGTGGGGTCCGAATTCGTGTGGGGCTCCAGTGTGACGTATGCCTGCCTGGAGGGCTACCAGCTCTCCCTGCCCGCAGTGCTCACCTGTGAGGGAAACGGATCCTGGACCGGAGAGCTGCCTCAGTGTTTCCGTAAGTTGCTCAAGAGGGCCTTTCCTGCACCCTGTCTGCTGACTCCTTCCCCCTTCCCTCCTCAGTTGCTCTGCTACTGATGTTATAGGATAGTCCCCTCCCCAAAATCATGGGGCACTTTGTCAAAGACACTATTAAAGAAGGAAGGAAGTTTAAGGGAAGAAAATGTGAATAATCTTCATGGAGCCCTGGCTATGGACTTTGTATGGAGTCACAGTGGGAGGAAATTATGCCAGAGATGGGGGGGGGGGGGGGGGGTAGGGGGAATTTCTTAACCTGAAAAGGTGTTAACTGGATGGAACGGGTACCCAAAGATCTGCAGGGGGTCCCATGCTAGAAACGTGCCTGTCTTCATGGAAAATACCCTACATAGAAAAGACGCCTGGGGAACTCATGATTCTCTGGTGAGAGACTTTATTTCTTATCCTCTTGGCCCGACTGTGTCGCAAAGAGTCCAAAGTCCATCCCAGAGCTCATTTCTTACTGAGTCCCTGGGAGAAGCAGTCTCCAGGTCACTTGTCACAGCCTGTGAATTGGCTCTGGAAGGTTTTCTCCGTGTCCAGGCTTCGGACAAAGAGTAGGACCTATTTTTTCGTTCTACTTTGCATTTTTCTAATTCTGCAGAAAACTGTCAACATACTCATGACACTGTTTGGGTACCTCTGAAAATTTGCTTCCATTTTGGGAAATTTCAGGAGAGACAAGGCCCACCCACTCCAAAGTGGACACGGGAAAGGCAGCATTTGGCACGAGGTCAACCTCTCGGACCGTCCCATGCCCCCAGGGTAACAGCTGGAGAGGAGCAAGTCTCAGGGTTGATTCTGGTCTAGAAATCTTGTTTTTCTTCTTGAAAAATAGCTTAATTGTTTTTATCGCAATGAATTACAGTTAGCATTTAAAAATATGTCTGATATCTGAAGATACAGAGAAGACCATAACAATCATCTAAACTCCCAAAGACAACCACAGTTGTGCTTCTACCTCAATCACTCTGCAGTTTTGCATTTATAGCAACATGTATATGCTTTTCTATAAACGGTATTGAATCGTGCTGTACGTACTAGTTCACAACTGGTATTCATTGATAGGCCAAAAACACCTTTCTCTATCAATACGTACCGATCTACACGTCATACATTGATAATGGCTGAAAGAATTTCCTTATTGCAGATGCCACAAGTTGTCTGATCTTCTCCTACTGGTGATGAATTTGGGTTTTTACAATTTAATCATGTTCGAAGCAGTTCTGAATCAAAACAAAGCCCTAAAAATAGCATTTCTTTACCCTTATGGTAAAGTCCGAGGAGTTAGAAAGCTGGGCCAATGGGCATGCACTCTATATTTTTGCATATGTGTGGCCAAACTATCTTCTAGAAAGAGTGCCCCTATTTAGCTCCAGAAGTTTAGGAGACTATTTCTTGACTCCTATCCTCCTTAACAATGGATTTTGTCAATATTTTTAAGTATTTACCAGGCTGAGGAGTTTTAAAAGATATCCCATTATTTTAATTGGCATCACATTACTTATTAGCAACACTGAGTTACTCTTTCTTTGTCATCCATTTGTATTTCTTGCCTTTTGAGTTGCCTATTTCTAGATACTGGGACTTCTGATCAACCCAGCATTTGACTGACTTCTGCTTGGTCAGGCCTGGACCCTCCAGCTTCCAGAGTACATGCTTCCATTTTATTTGCAAGACTCTGTGTACACACACACACACACACACACACACTCTCTCCCATCATAGCAAAAAGAATGTTCTTCATGCTTAAAGTGATGTATTGGGGAACTTTGCCTTCAGTAGTCAACTTTTAATGATACTCTGATGATCTGAATGACATGGGCACACTGCATACACCACCCACCAGGGTGCAAATGCACACCCTTTGGAAAGACATTTGGCAGCACACATCAAGAGCTATGACACACTCAACCCTTTAAAAATGAGCCAATCCTAGAGAATTCCCTCTAAGAAAATAATACCAATGAAAGAAAGGCCATGTGTAACTTTATGATAATATAAAAGGCCAATATAAAGGTTATGGTAGACTGTAATTATGGTACGACCTCTCATTGCAAAATTGTGTAGCCAATAAATGATAAGGATGCCGTAAAGCTGGGAAATGTTCACAGAATATTAAGTGAACAAAACAGTACTTGGATATTGGGCTTGCAGCCTTGCACAGGCTGCCCCTGAACAAAGACTGAGCATGACGAGAATGAGCATGAAAATGGGGGCGGATGGGGAGAGGGCTTGGGTAGTGGATTAGAGTTTGTTTTTCTCGATGTTCTAACCTTCCTGTAATGTTACTCCATTAATTGGATCATCATTAGTAAACACTTTGAACATGGAAAGGAGAGGAAACAGCAGCAGCAGCACTGATGCTGTCATTTACCCAGGGCTGCCTCCTGTTTCCAGAGCTCAAGCGGAAGCAGGGGGAAAGCAGCACAAAGAGCAAAGGCTAGGGTGGGGGCAAGGGGCCGCGGGGTCGCAGGCTGGGTTCTAGAAAGCAGCGCGGACCTGCCTTTCTCCCTTCGTCTTCCCAGCTGTGTTCTGCGGAGATCCTGGTGTCCCACCCCATGGGAGGAGAGAGGACCGAGGCTTCTCTTACAGGTCATCTGTCTCCTTCTCCTGCCAGCCCCCTCTGGTGCTGGTGGGCTCTCCACGGCGCTTCTGCCAGTCGGATGGGACGTGGAGTGGCACCCAGCCCAGCTGCATAGGTGAGAGGTGATCTGGGGAAGAGAGTCCCAGCTGTGGGCATGTTTCTTTTGGGTCCAAATGATGACCTTCCTTCCCTGTGTTCAGGGATCTCATCTGCGAAAGGGAACAAGTCCTCCTCTGAAATTCTCAGAGCAGGATGAGAAATAGCCCGTTGATGTGCTACTACAGGGCAGCGTATAGTCAGCCAAGGGTATGACTCGGGTGGTGATATCCAGCGGCGGGGTCATCAGGACGTGGCTCCGTTTTCTTTCCTGCTTCTGCTTCTCAGAGTGAGGCGATGAAAGCTTCCGTGACCATGTGGTCTGTTTCTTTTTCTGGTAATGCAGACCCCACGCTGACCATGTGTGCAGACCCCGGCATGCCGCAGTTTGGGATACAGAACAATTCCCAGGGCTACCAGGTAATGAGACCAGCCGAGATCGGGCCTTCCTGCCTCCTGTCCCTTTCGGTCACTGTCAGCCTCGGAGGGCCCAGGGACCTTCCTCGGGACAGCACTAGGTGGGGATGAGACCTTGGAAGCTAGAAAATGGAAGCACTAGGCCTGTGAACTGTGCTACATGGGGGCACCCTTCCAAAACGGGAAGGCGTTTACACCAAACCAAGAAGCTGATGCGGAAACGCAGACTGACCTGGAACTCCACAAACACATCCCAGTAAACCCGTGTAGTTGGGGCGAGGCGTGGGTGGAAATACGGGAATGAGTGAGACAGATAGACCTTCTATCCTCGAGGCGCCCATACCCAACCACAAACACAGGTCTAGACAGGGTGGAGGGAGTGACCACAGGCCACAAGGGGGGGGGGGGCCGGCCCCTGCCCGGCAGGCCCATCCCAGTAGGATGCAGGCCTCGGTGACACAGCTCAGAATGAGCTTCAGGAGAAGGAGGGGAATCTGAACAGGCTGGGATGGGACACTGAATGGGAAGCAAGAAAGTAGGGGTGTGTTCAAGGCAGGACTATTAACTGGAGCCCAAGATGTGCCCAGGGGAATAGCAGGGACTCACCTGGAAATGGCAGGTTGGGATATCGCCAAGGGCTGTGATTTATTCGCTCAGTCTGTATTCATTCAACACGTATTTACCGCCATGAACTATTCTAGGTAGTAGGAATCCAGTGGAAACAAGGCAGGCCAAGCGCCTGCCCTAAGGGAGCTCCCTGGCTGGTGACCATAAACAAGATAACTTGTGAGAAAGATAAGCACTGCGCAGGCAGGACGCAATGTAAAACGCTGTAACAGGGCAGGTTCCTGTTTTAGGAAGTGTAATGAGGGAATAGCCCTCCTAAACTTGAGCTGTGGCCTCCAGGATGAGAAGGGCCAGCCCTGTGCAGAGTCGGGGGGGCATTCCCGGCAGACGGAGCAGCCAGCGCAGGGAGCCCTGAGTTGGGAAGGGCTGAGCAGGTTGGAGGACTGGAGAGCAGGCCAGCCAGCGAGTCAGGAGCACAGTGAGAGGGACAAAGGAGCTAAGCCAAAGAACTAGGCGAGGTTGGAAAACAACCTGGCCCTCTCTTGTAAAATTCAATATTCACCTGTTCTGGGACCCACAAGCTCCAACCCAGAGACACTCTTGCACATGTTACCAAGAAATGAGAAAAACCGTGGTAGTCACACGATGGCTTGTTATATGGCAGTAAGAATGAATGAACTACAGCCCTACCCAACATGGATGAATCTTAGAAACATAATATCGAATGACAAAGGTGGTATGATTCTATTTCTATAAAGATTAAAACCAAGAAAACCTTATGTTGTTTAGAGGTATTTGTATGCATATGTAATAGAATTATTTTTTTAACAAAGCAAGGAAATTAAAAACACAAAATTCAAGGTACTGGTGACCACTGAGGGGGAACTGAGGAACGGGGCGGCAAAGGAACACACAGGTGATTACATGGTGTCGATAATGTTCTAGCTCTTAAATTGGATAGTGGGTTCAACTTAAGGTGTCCATTTTATTATTATGAGTCATGTCTATATATGCTCCATATATTCTTTTGTATGCATCAAATATCACATATAATTTCTGAAAAGAGAAAGGCTTGGGCCGAGTCGCGTAGGACCTTGAGACCAGGATAAGCATTTTGGGTTTTATCCTAAATGCCGTGGGTCACCATATGAAGGTAACTCGATCTGATCCACCATTTGAACGATCACTCAGGGTGCTGAGGAGAGAATGAATAATGGGGGTTAAGAATAAAAGCTCTTAGACAAATAGGACAGGATCACAAGGCTCAGGAGAATGAGTGTGGGACTGGGCGAGGGTAGCTGACAGTGGGCGCGGAGAGAAGTGAAGGGGTTAGAATGTATTTTGAAGGTAGAGCCAAGAGGACTTGTTGATGGATTGGATTGAGGGGTTGAAGGAAAGGGAAGGATCAAGGATGACTTGAGGTTTATGATTTGCACAACTGGGTGGGTAAAGGTGCCATTTGTTTGTTGAATGAGATGATGAGATGCAAGAGACAAACAGATCAGGCATGGAGGGAGTAGAAATTCAGAGTTTCACTTTGTGTTTGGATTTGCTACTATGGATAATAGACACATGAGCGTTTTGAGCTGAGAAATAGTATTGCAGTTCAGAAGCTGATCCGACAGCATTATGGAGGATGGATGGGACAGGGAGTAAGGGAGCTGGTGGTTGCGGGGGTGTCGAGTCGGACAGTGAGGGGCTAGTAGAGGGTGAGCATGAGGAAAACAGCTGAGCAAAGGGAGAGGTGGAGGGAGGGCAGCACTTCTGCTGAACAGAGATTTACAAAGCACGGCATCAGATTCTCCAAGGGACACGTCGGTGAGGAAGACAAGTCTCCCGCCCTAAAGGAATTTACAGTTTCGTAGAAGAGACACACACACAAGTAATAATTCTATTGTGTACAGTTCTTCACATTTTATGAAATGCTTTCAAATCCACCAGCGGATTCGCATGTCACAACGTCCCAGTGCAGCTTGGCAGGGTTGGTCATCCCCACTCTGTACACCGGAAGACCGAGGTGTGGCGTTTTGGGCAGCCTGTCGTTCAGTGAGCCAGCGTAGGGGCCAGAGCTGAGACCAGGGTCTTCTGAGGCTGAGTCGGGCTCTGTCCACCACAGCAGAGATATATCTGGTTCGGGGGATTGAGCGAGGCCATGTGGAAGAGGCATAATACAAGCTGCCTCAATGGACAAATAAGATTTAACCAGACAGAGAAGTGGAAGAAGAATGTTGTGGGTAGAGGCATGGGCAGGGGTAGGAGTTGGGTCATGCGAAAGTAAAGAGGCAAGTGACAGCTATGAAGCTTTGCTGGATGGAAGGTGATCATGGGACCTCCCATCCTCCCCACAGGTTGGAAGCACAGTGCTCTTCCGCTGTCAGAAAGGTTACCTGCTTCAGGGCTCCACCACCAGGACCTGCCTCCCCAACCTGACCTGGAGCGGAACCCCGCCCGACTGTGTCCGTGAGTGCAGACCTCACCTGCATCCCGACAGGACTCCTCTTAACAACACACCTTCTCCCCCCAGCTGGGTATCCGGGACATGCTTGAATGCTCTGAATGACAGGGAGCTCACACTTTCCTTTGGGACCAATATTGGTCTCTGTCATCCTCACTCCTTGGCACGTCGCAGAAGACATTCTGCACAAAAGCCTTCCTGGTGTTTGAAGAACATTCCTATGCCTTAGCAAAGAAAAAAGGAAGAACTTTCCAGTAGCAGCAGAAACTAACAACTACCAAAGCCAGCCCTCAGGAGGGAAGATTTCAGCCTTTTGACCACAATGGTTCCTCTTCCCTCAGGGAAAGTGCTACAGGCTTAGGTTTCCCCAGGGGCGATAAGCCAATAGCCAGGTGATCTCCACCCTGGCCATTCCTATAGACATCAAGGCTGGGATGTGGGGAGGGGGTGCTGAGCATGAAAGGGGCCACAGGGGAAAGGAAGGGAGTGTTTCATCTAGGAACAGGGGAATGGCCCTGAACACCCTCCCTCCCCTGGTCCAACAATGTCTCTCCTCTCATCCAGCCCATCACTGCAAACAGCCAGAGACGCCAACCCATGCCAATGTCGGGGCTCTGGACTTGCCGTCCATGGGCTACACACTCATCTACTCCTGCCAGGAGGGCTTCTCCCTCAAGGGTGGCTCCGAGCACCGCACCTGCAAAGCAGACGGCAGCTGGACAGGCAAACCACCCATCTGCCTGGGTGAGTGAACCTCTCCAGGGTGGGAGGCCAAGGGTGACAGCTGAGCTTGAGTGGAAGAAGGCAAGAGGGAAGGAAGACATCTGATTTCCAGGGGCTGGATCCCGCTTCTGATTTTCTGAGGTATCGAGTCTCTAGGAGATGAACCCAGAGGCACCTAGTAAAGCCATCCCAGGTTTTATTTTGCAAACTTCTGCCTGAGCTTAAACACTCTCCCGGGATTACATGTAATTGTTAGACAGAAAAAAATCTCTTTGTTTCACCAAACGGGATTAATTCATTATGCATATTATAACCTTGATAAAACAGCACCCACCCGCCCACAGATCCCTTGGGGTTATTCTCCTTCCCCTTTTTCTTAATTTATTCATTCTCTATTTATTGAACATTATCACTGTGCTGGGCATGGGGGATTAGAGGTGAAAGACACCAGCCCTGCCCTAAAGAAGCTCACATTTAGCTACAGAAGACAACACATGATCAGATACAACAGCACCTTCAGGAACATAGAAATAGGCTGCATGCCGTGAGGGTGAGGTGGAAGGGCACTAATTCAGCCTAAAAGGGGGAGAAGAGAAGTCAGGGAAGGCTTCCTGGAGAGGGTGGTCTGAGTTCAGTCTTAAATGAAGAGTCCAGGAAGGATACAGGATCAGTTTGGTGCTGGAATGGTATTAAACAGATGATGACCTCACCACATGCCAGGCATTGTTTTAAGCACTTTGTGAGTACTAACTCATTAAACCCTCACAGTCATCCTGTGAGTCAGTGCAATTCATAGTCCCACTTAATAGGTGATAAAGCTGAGGCACAGAAAGGTTTAGCAACATGCCTGAGGCCACCAGCTGGTAAAGGGAAAGAGCTGAGATTCAAACCCTGAAGGTCTAACTTCAGAATCCAAGCTCGTAAGTACTTTGCTTCCTGCCCCTCCGAGAGAGAAGGCTGCAGGGTCAGAGCCTTTATCAGAGCTAGAATTTTCATCAGATGAATTGTTGTAAATTTCTTTTATTTATGGAAAGTAACATTTGTTTTTCACACATGTTAATGCTATAAGGTTTCATTTTAGAGAACCATTTAAGTTTTACTGTGGTAAAATATACATAATATAAAATTTACCATTTTAACCATTTTTAAATAGTCAATTCAGTGGCATTAAGCACATTCACAATATTGTGCAACCATCACCACTATCCATTTCCAGAATTTCTTCTCCATCTCAGAAGAAACTGTATACCCCTTAAACAATAATTTTCCATTTCCCTTTCCCTCCAGCCCCTAATAACCGCTATTATACTTTCTAGCTTCATGAACTTACCCATTCTAGGTACCTCATATGAGTGGAATTAGGTAATATTTGTCCTTTTGTGTCTGGATTATTTCACTTAGCGTAATGTTTTCAAGGTTCATCCATGATACAGCACATGTCAGAATTTCATTCCTTTTTATACCTAAATAATATTCCATTGGTGGATGTGCCACATTTTGTTTATCCATCTATCCATTGACGGACATTTGGGTTGTTTCCACGTTTTGACTACTGCAAATAATGCTATGACCATAAATGTACATATTTTATATGGATATAATGTTTTTAATTCTCAGGTATCCATCTAGGAGTAGAATGTCAACTCAATGCTTAACATTTTGAGAAACTATCAAACAGTTTTGCACAGTGCCTGTACCGTTTTTACATCCCCACCAGCAATGCACCAGGGTTCTAATTCCCCTCCATCCTTGCCAACACTTGCTATTGTCCATCTTTTTGAGTACAGCCATCCTGCATGGGTGGAAGGTGGTGTCGCTGTGGTTTTTCATTTGCATTTTCCTGATAGCTAATGATGTTAAGCAGCTTTCTGTGTGTTTATTGGCCATCTGTGTATCTTCTTTGGAGAAATGTATATTCAAATCCTTTTTCCATGTTTTAATGGGGCTATTTGTCTTTTTATTATTGAGTTGTGAGTTTTTTATAAACCTTTTGATTTCCTTTTCCTGGCTTTCTTGAGGTATAATTGACAAATAAAATTGTAATAGATTTAAAGTTTACAACATGATAATTTGATATACATATACATCGTGAAAGGATTCCCACCATCAAGTTAACACATCTATCACCTCACATATTTACCCTTTTTTGATGAGAACACATAAATTCTACTCTTTTAGCAAATTTTAATTACACAGTGTCATATTATCTACTACAATTACCATGTTATACACTAGATCCTCACACCGTATTCATCTTATAATTGAAAGTTTGTACCCTTGTACCAACTTCTCCCTCTCTCACTCTCCCAGGCCTCTGGCAACCACCATTCTACTCTCTGTTTCTGTAATTTTAACTATTTTCTTTTCAGATTTCACATGGAAGTGGTACCGTATAGTATTTGTCTTTCTGTGTCTGGCTTTTTTCACTTAGCATAATGTCCTCCGGGTTCATCCATGTTGCCTCAAATGTCAGGATTTCCTTCTTTTTTAAAGCTGAATAATGATTGTCTATCCATCCCTTTTTTTTTAAGGCTGAATTGTCTGTATATACATCACATTTTCTTTATCCATTCATCCGTTGGCGGACACGTGGGTTGTTTCCATATCTTGGCAATTGTGAGTAATGCTGCAATGAGCTTGGGCGTGCAGATATCTCCTGAAGGATTTCATTTCCTTCAGCTAGATACCCAGAACTTGGATTGCTTGACCACATGTTAGTTCTATTTTTCATTTCTTTAGGAACCTCCATACTGTTTTGCTTAGTGGCTGTATCGGTTTTCATTCCCACCAGCAGGTTACAAGGGTCCCCTTTTCTCCACATCCTTGCCAGCATTTGTTATTTCTGGCATTTTTTATAATAAACACCCTAACATGCGTGAGGTGATATATCACTGTTGTTTTGATTTGCCTTTCCTTGAGGATTAGTGATGTTGAGCACCTTTTCATGTACCTGTTGGCCATTTGCGTGTCTTCTTTGGGAAAATGTCTACTCAGGTCCTTTGCCCATTTTTTAATTGGGGTATTTGTAGTTCTTTGCGATTGAGTTGTATGAGTTCCTTGCATAGTTTGGATATTAACCCCTTATTGGATATGTGGTTTGCAAATATTTTCTCCCATTCCATAGGTTGCCTTTTTATTTTATTAATAGTTTTTTTTACTGTGCAGAAGCTTTTTAGTTTTATGTAGTTCCATTTGTTAATTTTGTTTTTGTTTTCTTTGCTTTTAGTGTCAAATCCAAATAATTATTGCCAAGACCAACGTCAAGCTTACTCCCTATGTTTTCTTTTACAGTTTCAGGTTTCACCTTCAAGTCTAACACATTTTTATTTGACATTTGTGTATGGTGTAAGATACATACGGATCGATCCAGTTTAATTCTTTGCATGCATTTCCCAACACATTTATTAAGGGGACTATCCTTTCTCCCATTGCATATTCTTGACCCCTTGGTTGTAAATTAATTGACCATATAAGTGTGGGTTTATTTCTGGGCTCTCTATTCTGTTCCATTAGTCTATTTGTCTGGTTTTATGCCAATAGCACACTGGCTTGATTGATATAGCTTTGTAATGTCATTTGAAATCAGGAAGTATAATGCCTTCAGCTTTGTTCTTTCTTTTTTCTCAAGGTTGGTTTGCCTACTCAGAGTCTTTTGTGGTTCCATACAAATTTTTGGATTATTCTATTTCTGTGAAAAATGCCATTGGAATTATGATAGGGATTGCACTGAGTTGTAGATTGCTTTGGGTAGTAGGTGGCAGCTTCAGAAATTGGGGTGCTAGATGTGTGGTCCAAACTCTTCACTCTTCAGAGAGAGAAGCTGGGAGTTCCCTCCCGATTGTATGGCATTGTGCCAAGAGTGGGATATATGGCAAAAGTGTGTCTCAGCCCTTCCTCTCTGTTTCCATGTGGGTATTTTCTCAGTCACCCAATGTATGAGAGTCACTAAGCTAATTTCTGGATTTCTCTCAAAGGGAATTGATCCATGTGTATCTAGCTGTACATTCAGTGCATCCGTGGAAGGAGGGACATTCAGGAGCCTCATATGTTGTCATTTTGGTGTGGAGTCTGTTCAAGAATTCTTTCATAACTAGAATATAAGACTCTGAACAGATACATGATTTGCATATGTTTTCTCCAATGTTGTGGGTTGTCTTTTCACTTTTTTTTTAATTTACAGTACTTTATCTTTTATTTCATGCATCACCTAAAATGAAATTAGACTATCACATTTTAAGCTCAGTTTCAGTCCTCTGTTAAATTGTTTTTCTTGTTTCTTCAGATGTGATTTTTTACAGCCTTATTGATATGCGCATATAATTGATATACATAAACTACACGTATTTAATGTATACAATTATATGAGTTTTAATCTTTTCACTTTCTTGTTGATGTCCTTTTAAACACAAAAGTTTTTTCAATTTTGTTGCATTTCAATTTTTTCTTTTGCTTGCTTGTGCTGTTCTTATCTTATCTAAAAAACCATTGCCTAATACAAAGTCACAAAGATTTATGCCTATGTTTTTTTCTAAGAGTTTTATAGTTTCTGCTCTTACATGTAGGTCTTTGATTCATTTTGAGTTATTTTTTATGGCATTAGTTTGAAGTCCACATTTATGCTTTTGCATGTGGATAGCCAGTTGACTCAGCACCGTTTGTTGAAAAGACTACTCTTTCCTCATGTAATTATCTTAGCACCCTTGTCAAGGATCATTTGACCATAAATGTGTGAACTTATATCTGGATCCTCAATTCTATTCCACTGATCTGTCCGTATGCTATCACCACATGGTCTGATTATTATAGCTTAATAGTAAGTTTTAAAGTTGAGAAATGTAAGTCCTCCTTTTTGTCCCTCTTTTCAAGAATGTTTGGCTTTTCTGGGTCCCTTTTACTTCTATATTTTAGGATTGGGTTGTCCATCTCTTCAAAACAGGCAGCTGGCATTTTGATAAGGATTGTGTTGAATCTATCTGTAGATCAATTTGGGGAGTAATGCCATCTGAACAATATAAATCTTCCAATCCGTGAGCATGAGATGTCTTTCCATTTATTTAGAACCTTAATTTATTTTAATGATGGTTTCTAGTTTTCAGTGTACAAGTCTTAAAACTTCCTTGGTTATATTTATTTTAAGTATTTTATTCTTTTTGATGCTATTATAAGTACTTGTATTTAAAAACACAAAATACTTTAGATGCAGTTAGATCTCATTTCATCCCCTTAGTGTATGACCTTGGGCAAGTCTCTTCACTTCTCTGCCTTTTAACAAGTTTCTCTTATATGAAATGGAGACAATAATCTCTACCTCACTGTTTCGAGAGGAGTAAATAAAGTGCCTAGCACAGCGCCTGGCACATAAAATGCTTTATCCCTCTTTACTCCCTTCATCTTCTAAAACCTAAGACAATAATGTTTTATTCAGAAATGTACCTTCATTAAATCACTGTGGAAGTTTTTTTCTGCAGCTTTCTGTGTACCAGAACATAAGTTGACCTCCAAAATTGGAAGGGGCATGCTAAAACCCTGTGGCCTCCCAAAGGAGACGGTAGGGAGAGTGCGCCCTGACTTGGTGATAAGGCAGATCTTTCTGTTGTTTCTCTGCAAAAGGAGAAAACACATTAATATTTATGGACCATGACTTTCGTGTTCATTACCTCATTTATTCAGCATAGACCTGTGAGTCGTGTTTCAGCGGGAGGAGACGAAGACTCTTGAGTAGTGAAATGACTAGTCAAGGTCACACAGTCATTCGGTAGCACTGTTGGGACCTGAACCTGGGTTGCCTACCTCAGGCCCAAAGCTTTTGCTCTTGCCTTTGCTGGGAGGGCCTCTGAGTCTTAATATCATCGCTCCCAGAGAGGGAAGCACTCCATTGAAACCCCCATCAGGACACAGGGAATTCACTTTTGAACAATAGAAGGTCCTCCTTTGAGCCAGGCATCTGGGAGGGAAGCAGAGTCCAGGGCAGGACTTTTTAATTCAAGGTCCTCAATTAGGGGCATTCAGGGGACCTGTGTACTAGGGTGGAAAAACACACATCTATTTTTTCTTTACTTCTTACTAAAGTTTAGTATTTCCTTTAATTTAGAAGTAGACCAAAACCCATTACAGTGTTAGCAATACTTGTGATTTTGTCACCCATAGAAATTGCAGATTTTCATACTATATTATAGTTGTTACTGATACCATGAAATATTGTTTATGTTCCTCACCACTTCTAGATTGTAGTAGTTACTGGACCCGCTTCTAGATCCTGTAACTGAATGCAGTAATAAAGAATTACATATAATTATATCCTAATTCCTCACTTAATATGACTGTCATTGATATAATGGATTTCCTTTGTAATTCTTTATATTTTATTATTCTGAGAGAGATCCATAGCATCACCAGACCATGGAAGCGGTCTACCTCCTGGTTTAAGAAGATAAGTCCAGAGCAAGATCTCAAAGAACCTGTTGACTTAATATAATGTCAGAGAGGTGGCCATTATTTTTCCAACAGAATATAGACCAAAGGCTGATCCTGTTTTCTCCCATTCTCTTTCCCCAGCAGAGGTCCGGCCCAGTGGAAGACCCATCAACACTGCCCGGGAGCCACCACTCACCCAAGCCTCAGGTGTGTATGGTCCAGATGTTTAGTTCAAGAGACATGTTGCTTCCTTCATCTCGTTACCCAGAAACACGCATGTGAGTTTCTGAGTATCCAACGGAAGGGCATGAAAACTATCTATAGAGCCAAACAGATTTTCACACCCACCTCCCAACCCCAGGCCGACTTCAGGAAGAAGTGAGCCTGAAGGAAGCAGAAACCTCATCCAGAAGAGGGATGGAGGCCTTCCAGAAACATAGCCAGAGCTTTCAGCTCTGCAGCCACTGATTACCACAACCACTCCTGGCACAGCACCAGCCAGTGTGCAGTCATACAGACACACAGACCCAGGTCCGGCCCAGGGAGCTTCCTGGAAATGCTTACATTTTGAGACAGGTATTGATTCTTTCAAAGGGTGATGTCCAGAACTGGACCCAGAACTACAGGTGTGCCTGGCCAACGCAAATTTATCATATACTTTCACATCCTTTTCTGAACCCTTTGGTTTTATTAGTATATGCATTGTAAAGGAAAGAAGACTAGACTTAGTGTCACAAACTCAATTCAGGTTCCATTTTGGTCATTGACCAGCTATGTCCTTGGGAAAATGACCTTCACTTCTTGAGCTTGAGTTTACCTTTGGGTAATATAGAGATTAAAACACTTGCCTTGCAGAATTATTATAAGGATAAATAACAATTTGAGTAGCTATCACTTACTAGGTGCTTTCATGTGCCTGACATCATGTGATACACAATTTGCAACATTAGATCATTGAACCCCTATAATAACGCTGATGAGGTAGGCGGGATGGCCCCCATTTACAGAACTACATGTGTGGCCTACAGGTGAGGTAGTGGAGGCTCCTTCAACTTGATCAAATAACTCATAAGTTACAGCCAATATGAGAATCCAGATCTGTCTGTCCTCATAAGCCCATGTCCTCTCTGCCACATGATGCTGACATATTGGTTTTCTCTCTCTTTTTCCCTTTCTCCATGTTTTCAACCTCCGCCTTCCTTCTTTTCCTCTTTTCTTCTTTCTCCTCCTCTCTCTTCCTTCTAGTTCCGTCTCTGTCTCTCTCCCTTTCTTATTGGTTTTCTCCTTTTTTTCTTATCCTCCTCCTCTCTCTCTTTCCCTCCATCCATCCACCCTGAGACACAGAGGCTCACAAGAGGGCCAGAGGACTCCACCCCCCACTGGGTTCAGGAAAACAGTCTCCCTGAGCGAACTGCGATCAATCATCAGGTGGCCGCAATTCTAACAGCACACATGGAAGTCCTTCTCATGTCTATTTCTCAATTCTTCTAGTTCCTGGGGATGTTTTTGCCAAGAACTCCCTATGGAAAGGGGCCTATGAGTACCAGGGGAAGAAGCAGCCAGCCATGCTCAGAGTGACTGGCTTCCAGGTTGTCAACAGCAAGGTCAATGCCACCATGATTGACCACAGCGGCGTGGAGTTGCACTTGGCTGGTAAGGAGCAGGTCACTGCCGCAAAAGCTGGGGGTGGTGAAGGTGAACAAGCACATGCCTTTATGAGGATGAGTCTGCGGTCATTGCATTGTACTGTCCTACGAGGCCTGTCTGGTGGGCAGGGGGAGGAGGAAGTGTTAGTTCAATCTTTGTTTATGTGGTAAAAGCACCGGGACTAAAGGGAAATGGCTAGAGGACAAACATTCATAACTTCAACATACGAAGGACTGAGAAATAAAGAGAAAAGAGACTTGTATCCCTAAACCTGAACTAAACTTAGGGGCAGAGAAACCCCAGGAGCCAGAGTACAGCCAGTCAATAAACAAGAGAAATATATTTTTCAGCAGTAATCACAAAAATCAAAATAAACACACAATGTCATTTTCCACTTTACTCACTAAGATTTTTTTTAAGTGATAAACTTAAGTGCTGGTCAAGGTCCAGTGAAGTCACTGATCCAGTGCTGGCCAAAGGAGAAAATAGCACAGTTCTAGAAAACAGTTTAGCGATTTGTATCAAGATCCTTGAGGACGATTGGACTCATTAATTGCACTTCTAAGAATTTTTATCATGAGAAATAATTATGGAGGGAGTCAGACATTGATGAGTGATGTTCACATTACAGGGCCATCTGTATGACATAAAAACTGGAAATAGAAAATTATCTAAAAACAAAGACATGGATATGTTAATAATAGTGTTATCTGTTGGATAAATTATTATGCCAGTTTGGGAAGAAGTACACACTATCATGCATTTGAAATATGGCTCCAGTTTTTAAAAGAGAAAAAATTACATTCATAAGAAAGAAAATTGGAAGTAATTATGCGAAAATGTTAACAGTGGTTATTTCTTAGTAGTGAGATCAAGAGTGATTTTTTTTTTCTTCATGAATTTCTGCATTTTCCAAAATTTCCCTAATTTTCAATCTTTCTATAATCAGAAAAACTAAAAATCATAGAAAACAAGTGTTTGTTGAATAGATAGATAGCTAGGTGAATGCCTGGGTGAATGATGTGCACATGAATATACAACCCCACGTGCAGTCACATCCACTTATTCATACACACACACACACACACACACACACACACACACACACACACACACAACTGAACTTTCACATTCACTCTAAGACAGCCCTAAACATGTTCACATCGTCCTGTATACATTCCTCATGCAGTCCTGCACCCACTGAATTGGAAGCATACCCACGCAGTAACTGACACATTAACATGTACAAAGCCGTATTCACTTTCTTCTCACACGTGCCAGTGTAAACAGGGCCCCAGTCACAGGCCGGCAATCCAGTTGTTTGTTAACACACATGCACATTCTTGCCATACTCACCATCAGCCTACACAAGCTCGCTGGCAGCACTCTATTAACCTACTTACACTAATGCGTGGAATGTTTATATCAACATCTACATGTGAGATTCCACTCACACATGCACACCCACAGACCCACACATTTGGGTTTGAAATTTCCCTCGATCTTTCAAGTACACCCTCTGCACTTTCTTTTCCCAGGAATTTACAAGAAAGAAGATTTCCATCTCCTACTCCAGGTTCATCAGATCACAGGGCCTGTGGAGATCTTTGTGAATAAATTCAAAGATGATCACTGGGCTTTAGATGGACATGTAAGTTCAGCAATATCTCACTCAGTCCTTGACCTCCCCGTGCCCTTGCCCCATCCCCACTCCCAGATCACCAGCAGGGAAGAGGAGGGGAGAAGAGGGTGGAAACCCCTAGGATACACATGGAAACTTGGGAGGAGGTTTTTTGGAGGGCCAGGACTGGGCCAAGGGAGTCCCCATCTGCTAATGAAGTGGGCAAAGGAAAAGACAAAAAGGGCCAGGAGACTGAGTCCAGAGGGTCAGCACGTCTGAGCGAGAGGAGTAGGTTCTGATGTGAGAGCCGAAAGCAAGGAATGGGAGGTCAGCGGTGTACGAGTGAAGTCCAGCAAGTTGAAGGTCGTGGTGTGGTGGTGGGAGCTGGGAGAAGGTGCTGAGTTCCAGATGAGGACCTGGAATATCTACTCACGTTTGAGGGTGCGGATTGTGGGTGATTGAGCACAACTCAGGAGACTAAGACATGGTGGAGAGGATACGACTTCCTCACATTTTCTTGTGGGAAAGACTTGTTACATTCTAGGGCATTCTTGAGATGGAAGCCAGGTCCCCAGTGATGCTCCCTTGCCCACACCTTCCAAAATCTCATGTAATGAAGTTGAGCATGCTGTCACCTATCATATTCTTGGCTTCCCTGTCTTGGATTGTTGAAGCTAGAAGAGTGGTGACCGGAGTAGCAGAGAGCTAAGGAGTCAGGGTGCAACCACCTGGACAAGACCAGCTGGTACAGGACCGTGGCTTTAGGGACTTTGCTTTATAAACAAATAAGGAAGAACACGTGGCTTCTCCATGGGCTGGCATCGCCAGTTAGTTCCCTGGTTTTCTCTGGAGTATCCTATGGACCCCCTTGGGTATCCAAGTCCTGGCTGGCTTCCATAGTAGTAGTCCAAAAGTTTGCAAGGACAGCAGACTCCCCCATGCTAGGGAGATTGCCAGAGGTGAGAGAACAAGGGTCAGATTTGGGAGATGGAGCTGAGTACAGGCCAAGGGTTAGATGAGAATGGAGCTCTGGAGGGCCAGGAGCTCCTGGAGCAATTGCCTAGGATGACAGCCAGCCATCAGGCCCACCCAGGATGTGTTTGAAAGGACAGGTGGGGAGGGTCATCCCAGAGCACAATAGACAGAGGGCTCCACCCTGGGGATGGAGCAGGAGTTGGAAGGTGCACCAGAAGCACCAGCATCCTCAGAGCACGCCCTCAGCTGAGCGGTCCACAGTCTGCACGTCTGAGTGTGGCGGCGAGTAGCAGAAGGAGCAAGGAGGAGTTATAACCCCAAAACGAAAATTAATAGCTCCTGGAACTGTGATGAACTCTCCAAAGTCCGTTAAATCCACTAGGTACATTTTAATCATAGTTTGGTTTGTCCCGTGGTGCTCTAAAAGTCAGTTTGTCATCGCGGTAATAATAGTTAACACTTATCTAGGGTCTATTAAGTCTTCTCAGTGTTTTATCTATATTAACTCATTTAATAGTCACAGCAACCTAAGACACAGGTACTGTTATTATTCCTGTTGTACAAATGAGAAGCCCAGGCACAGACAAATTGAGTTGAGCCGTAGAAATGAAAAATGCCCCCCGCCTCCTACAAGCAGCTGGTGTCCCTGTCCCCTCCACAGCATGTCAGTCGTGCTCCGCTGTCCCTTGCCTGGGTGTGGGCAGAGTCAGTGTCTGTGTGTCGGGCAACGCCTCTGAGCGCGCCTCTGGCCTGGCTGCCAGGACCCCCAGCTCCGCCGAGCACGTCTCCCATCTTCTTCTCTCTGCTCCCCACCATGACAGGTCTCCTCAGAGTCCTCCGGGGGCACCTTCATCTACCAGGGCTCCGTCAAGGGCCACGGCTTTGGGCAGTTCGGCTTTCAAAGACTTGGTAACTAGCATTTGTCCCCTGGAAGTATGAGCTCGTGGGGCTGGAGGAGAAACTAAGCTCGTATAGTGGGGTGGAGAGTGGGGGATGGGGTGCAGTTCAACAGTCTCAGACCCGGATTCTGAACCTTTCCTGGATCAGGGACGCCTTTGAGATTCTGATAAAAGTTAAGGGCTATCTCTCCAGAAATAAGCACCATACATAACACACTCAACCTTTGCCAGTTTTGGGCTCAGCCCTGGAGTGGAGAGCCTCAGCGTAAGGGACATTGGCTCTCAGATACAGCCCCCTCCAATGCTATGTGGCCAGCCCTCCAGCGTCACCCAGACCTCCCTAAGCATTCAAACATGGGGGTCTCGGGGTGCTTTTACCCATGTTGCCCTTCCCTCCCCGCACATCCTGGGGGTTGGTATTACAGTCCTCATCCTCGTTGGACAGATGAGAAAACTGAGCGTCAAAGAGACTTCCCTCCCTTGCTCTTCCCGGCATCTTGACCCCACATGCTCCACGTCATCAGGGCCCAGCATCCTCACTCCAGAGCCTCTGGGTGCCGAGCCTCAGGCTCGAATGGGGGGAGGGGTCCTGGTTTCTTACAAGCAGTACAAGGGGATACAGGAGGCAGTCGTGGTGTTCGAGAGCCAGCCAGCTCTGTGGACCCCCAGTGCTGACACCGCCAGCCTCCAGGGGCCCCTCCCTGCCCAGGGAGGCATTGCGTTTTCTCACAGCTCTGACCTTCATCAGTAGGCTTCTCCTTGTCTTCAACGGAAACCTGCTTCCCTGTTGGGCCCACTCCACCCTGCTCCTCCCCAGAGCTGTTCTTAGCTCTGCCCTCGAGAGCTGCACAGAGTGAGACCCCTCTCTCTTCCATGCAGCAGCCTTTCAAACACTGGAAGACAGCTCCCCTGGCCCTGCTGCCTAAAACACTGGCGAGAACTCGGGAAGCCAGAGTTCTCATTCCGGCTGCACAGCTGACACCCCATCTGTCTCCAGAAGCAGACCCCTCCCCTCTCTGAACGTCAGTCCCCTCAGTTAGGTGGGGTATTTGACAGCGGCAGCAGTGTCTCTGTGTTATTCTGAGCCCCCCAGTCTTGTGGGGGGAGGGGCAGGAGAAAGAGGGGAGTCTCTCCAGAGGCAAAACCTTCGGTGCCCCCAGAGCAAGTCCACGTTCATACGTTTTTATATTTTGGCTTCCTTGTAAGGTTTCATCTGATAAAAGGTTTCTACGGCCAAAAGAAGCTTCGAGACTTCTAAAGGGCTGCACCTTTTTAGGATTTTATTTTGCGACATAATTTCAGGTTCTCCCACAGATTGGCCTCCCCAGGACTGAGCACTGACCTAGGGACGTGTTCTGACCAGTACCTGTGGGCCCCTTCTCCCAGGGAGTGTCTGAGTGTGTGTGGAAGGCAGGTGGGTGGGCACCGAGGCCTCTACCTGCTGAGATGGAGAAGGTAGTAACATCCCAAGCCACAGCCACACTTCCCAGTAGTGACTGCTAAGGGCTGCACCTCAGACTGTGTCTCTGTGACCTGATGTTTATGCTTTGGGACTTGCAGACCTCAGGCTGCTGGAATCAGACCCCGAGTCCATCGGCCGCCACTTTGCTTCCAACAGCAGCTCGGTGGCAGCCGCCATCCTGGTGCCTTTCATCGCCCTCATTATTGCAGGCTTTGTGCTCTATCTCTACAAACACAGGTACAGTGAAGGCAGCGGGCACGGGGGCTGGGAGGGTGGCAAGATGGGTGCCAGGCCCTAGCCCTGACTCTCACCCACCCGGGGCCTTCCCGGCTCAGGAGAGCTGGAACCATCCGAAAGGAAGAAGGAACCTGTAACCTTCTGAAAGGAACAGAGAACCCCCTTCTTCCTCTGCCCCTTTAGACCCTTGGTTCTCTCCTCTTTTTATGTCTCGGTCACTCCCTCTCTTATTCCCAGGAGAAGACCCAAAGTTCCGTTCAATGGCTATGCTGGCCACGAGAACACAAATGTCAGGGCCACATTTGAGAACCCGATGTACGACCGCAACATCCAGCCCACAGACATCATGGCCACCGAGGCGGAGTTCACAGTCAGCACGGTGTGTACAGCGGTATAGCCACCAGGCCTGGCTGCCACCGCCACCACCACCGAGAGCCCCGCCGCCAGCAGCCGGTGAGAGGGGGTGTGGGAGGCGGCCGTGAACTTGTGCGTGCATCCTTTAACATCTATCCTAAACTAATATTTAACGAAGTGGGGTTGTTTTAACATGCCAAAATAGTTCTGAGGTTTCATCTTTATCTTTATGCTCCATCTTTGCTTTTTCCTACCCTTTCTTCATACTCAGAACTCTTACAAATAGAAAGCAAATGAGAAAAAGTAAACTCTCCTCTGACGGCATGAATCGGGCCTTACAGGTAATCAGCAATGACTCTGAACTTCGACTTGCAGGGTTATGGAATAGTGTAGGAGAGAAACAAGAATGTCCCAAGGCCACACCCACCCTGGCTCCGTGTCTGGGGCTCCACTGGGTCCCAGGTGCCTGTGTGCGTGACGTTCCACCCCTGTGCCATCTGGGGTTGGTGGCTCCCAGGCCAACCAGCCATCAGCACTGCACCTCCCCAGCAGAAAGGACCTCTGAACATCTCGCCTGGCCCACATCTCCAGCAGGGCCCCTCTCCCCACTTCCCACCTGCCCAGTGCTGGAGCACAGAGAAGGCTCTGCTCGGCACAGGGAGGAGATCTGTGACAAACCACCTGGAACAGGCACACACATGTACATTTAAAATCAGTGATGAGGTGATAAATTCAAACGATAAATTCAAAAGAACAGCTGAAATTAAAATAAAACCCCCCAAAGGGAAGTCAGTGGGGCCTATGGGGCTAGTGAGTCAGAGGCAACGGGGCAGGGCTGTGGAATGATTTCCATGGACCCCTTCCTCCATTAAAGTATATACTTATGAGGGCCGGCCGAGTGGCTCAGTTGGTTAAGAACTTGCTCAAGAGTGTGAGCTCTGAGCAACAGCGGTTCGATTCCTGGCCTGAGCTGAGCAGCCGCTGAGCTGCCAACAGGTGGTGGGAGGGCTCAGCTAAAAAAGAAAAAAGAAAAAAATAATATCACTTGTAAGGAAACATCTTAGTGTCAAATGATGTGCATATCATAAAATATATACCTATGAAAAATGATCCTTTATAACTCTGTTGTTATAAAAAAATGAATATAATTCAGCCTGGATTCATTATTACATGTCCAATATTATCTTATTCATTTTTTTCCTTCTGATTTTGAAAGAAACTAAAATTAAAACATTTTCCTGGGCTCCTAAAAGTATGGTGGCCCCTAGGCCCTGGGCCTCCTATGCCTGATGGATAAGCCGGCCCTGCCAGGGAAAAAGACTACAGCAAGGAAATATATGTTCTGCTGTGTATAGGCAGGGACCCCTACATCCCATCCTCAGTTTAAGGAGATTAAAAATCAAAGATAGGGATCAAAGCAACTAATTTTCTTTCATTCTTTCCCCTTGATTCCTTCTTTTGCACCCCTCCCAACCCCGCCCACCATCTCTCTTGTTTGACAAGCTCTGCTGTGATCTGTTTGTGCCCAGTTCTCCAGGGGACAGAAGTACACTCCCCTGAGTACAGTGCCCAGGGCCCATCTTCGTCTGTCCCTCCGCCCGAATTTGCTACTGCTGGAACTTGGGCCCTCGCCCCGCCGCCATCTGCACCCGCCACCCTGGAGAGAAGTTCCACTGTGCCCGACGTGGGGCCGAAAAGGAAGAGGGGCTGCAGACGGAGGAAGGAAGCTGATGGATTTAAAATAACAGAGCACCTTGTGGATGTGCGCATGTGGGTGCGGGGGGGCCTGAGTGCGCACACACACACACCCCTTCTTCATTGGAGTCTATGGAAGAGCTTAAAAAAGAGAAATGGGTGTGAAAGAGGCCCCATGCTTTTCTCCCCACCAGCACAGAGAAATGGTGAAGAAGAGGAGGCACCAACAGCCCCACCCAGCTTGTCAGGTCTCAGAGAGCGTGCTATCAGGATGCGTCCAGTGGTCAATGCGCAGAGACCGGCCCTCTGCAAATGCACGGTCCCACCTGCAGGGTAACAGCAAGGACTACCCCAAGGGCAGAAGAACATCATAAGAAATAGTTTGGAAATCAGTTTCTTTATTTTTTTCCAACATAATTTTATTGCATTCTAAATCCAGTGAATTAAAAATTCGTTCTGGGCCCCAGGCAGCGCTGCAAAAGAAGGGTGGGTCAGGGGTGCTAAGGACAGGAATCTGGCTGTGAGCTCAAGGACAAGTCTGGCTGTCGGCTGACAAGAAAGAAAAACAAGTCTGTGTCCCAGATGGGGATACCAAGTCTGCAGGCATTGGTGAGGTGCTGGAAAGGACGGGAGAGCAAGCCTACCCCAGTGTCCAAAACATAAATGGCTACCTGTATAGAGTTCCTTCTCTGTTCCTGACACTTTCGGTGTATCATTTCTAGACCTACAACACCCCAAAGAATAAGAATTATTATCCCCATTGTATAGATGAGAAAATAGAAGCCCATAAAAGTAACGATATGTAAGCCACAGTTAGTAAGTGTGGATGCAAACCCAGATGGCCCTCACACCACCGGCTGCCAGAAACCCAGGTCTAGAAAGGACACTGATGATGGGGAGTAGCAGGTGTGTCTCTACAGTAGAACTGTGGCCAGGACTGGTGGGCCAGGCAGGGGATGCGTATGTCCTGTCTGGGTTCTGTTCCCTCCACCTGGGCAGCATCAGGGTGAAAACCCCAGTACCTGCCCCCTGAACCTGGTGTTGGCCCCTTGGCTCCCAGCAGCCCTTTGCCACAGCAAAGAAAGGACCTGCGAGTTCCTGAACGAAAGGATGGCGTGGATGAAAGTCATATTCTCTCGAGCTCCTTGCAAGTGGGTTTGGTTTATTTTGAGTTTCACTGTGCTTGGGTCACTAATAAATTCTATATAAGTATTGTTGAGAAGCTAACAAGTTTAAGAATCAAACTATGACATTTAGAGCCACTTTCTCTGTCCTTGGGAAGGTCCCCATGGGCTTACGCACGTGTGCATGTGTGACATGCTGGCCCCAGATGTTCATAGCACATATTGAAATGACAAATAGAATTGTAGGGGAATGGGGTGGCAGGGACACCTGCTTCTTAAGCAAGTTCTGGGTTAGAACAATGACAATATCTAACTAAGGTTACGATTGGCTGGCGTAAAATGAGAAGTGAATTTCCAGCAGATACAACTGGGACTGGCAATGGCAGGGGCCCTGCGCTGCCCACACCTGCTCTGGGTCACAGCATCCCGGGGCTTGCGGGAGAGGACCAATCCAGACAAACGCACATGCTCACCTCTCTTTCCCTGGAAACAAATGCAGGAAGCTCTTTGGCTGCTCCCTTCTCCTTCCTTACATTCCTCTCAGACCAACCAGTGGACTCCTCCTCCAGCCCTGCCTCTGCCCCTCTCCTGTGTCCCCTTGTGAAGTCCCAGGAGACGCCGCAGGAGCACAGGCTGGTGAGGTGTCTGGTGTTCTGTGCATTGCCCTTCCCACCTCTGGCATTTTCCCTCCACTCCCAGAGGCTCGGAAGGGACCAGGACAGACTAGGCCCTCCACCCACCCTTCATATCACACACACCCATCGCCATCCCATGAGGAAAAAAAAAAAAAGTAAAACAAAAAAATCTTTTGTACAGAGATATATTTTTATTATACAAAGTTTGTACAGGACCAAAAATGAAAGAAAAAAAAAGGTGTACATTTTTTTTCATTATTGTAGGTAAACAGTAGTGGAAGCCTTTTTTGTAAATGTAACAAAATGTGTAAATATGGTTTTCAGAAAAACATCCAGTGCTGTAAATATGTAATCTACACAGCTTCTTGGCTTGTCTGCAGTATATCCGTTTAATTTATCTGTCTCTGTATATGGGGCTTCCCCCTGGGGTCCTGCATTCTGGTACTTTCCTGAATTTGAAAACAATTTTAAATTTTTTGAATTCAAATAAAATATAAATTTTTGCATTTGTTTTCTTACATTTGTATGTCCTTTTTTATGGCTAGGGACAAGTGTTTGTTGGGGAAGGGGAGAAAAGAGATATTTGGGGTTAAAAGCCCACAGTTGAAATGTGGAAATCTCTTTCTCTTTTGTTTTAATTTTTATTAAATTTATTGGGGGTGATATCGGTTAGTAAAATTATGTAGGTTTCAGGTGTACAATTGTGTAATACATCATCTCTCTATTGCACTGTGTGTTCACCACTCTCTTCCTTAAATTGCTTTGTGTTGTTTCTGCTACATGTTGGGAACTCCCAGCAAAAATGATAGTGAATACACCATATACAAAAATTTACTCAAAATGGATCAAATACCTAAACATAAGTCCTAAAACTATAAAAGTCGTACAAGAAAACATAGCGGGAAAGCTTCATGACATTAGATTTGGCAGTGACTTCTTGGATATGACACCAAAAGTACAAACAAAGAAAATATAGATAAATTAGACATCTTTAAAACTTAAAATTGCCTCAAAGGACACAATCAACAGAGTGAAAAATTGGAGAAAATATTTATAAATCTCACCTGATAAGGAATTAATAGCCAGAATGCATAAGAACTATAACTCAAACAACAACAACAAAGCAAAACCCTATTTAAAAATAGGCAAAGGACTGGAACAGACATTTCATCAAAGATGTACAAATGGCCAGTAAGCACATGAAAAGATGCTCAACATCACTAATCACTAAGGAAGTGCAAATCAAAACCATAGGGAGATAACACCTCACACTCATTAGGATAGTTACTATAAAAAAAAGAAACAAACGTCGGTGAGGATGTAGAGAAATTGGAATCCTTATGCTCTGTTGGTGGGAATATAAAATGGTGCAACCGCTACAGAAAACAGTATGCAGGTTCCTCAAAAAACTAAAAATAGAACTACTTTATATGTGATCCAACAATTCCTCTTCTGAGTGTATATCCAAAAGAATTGAAAGCAGGGTCTTGAAGAGGTATTTGTACACCCATGTTCATAACAGCAGGATTCAAAATAGCCTAGAGATGGAAGTAGCTCAAATGGCAAATGACAGATCGACGGATAAACAAAATGTGGTATATACATAAATGGAATGTTATTCAGCCTTAAAAAGGAAGAAAATTCTGACACATGCTGCAACCTGGATGAACTTTGAGAACATTATGTTAAGTGAAATAAACCATTTGCAACAGACAAATACTATGTGATTCCATTTATGTGAAGCGTCTAGAGTAGTCAAACTCAGAAACAAAAAGCAGAATGGTAATTTGACAGACCTGAAAAGAAACATAGCCATTATGTCATTAAATGTAATTAGGTTTAATTCACCTATTAAAAGAAAAAGATTTTCAGGTTAGCTCAGAAAGTAAAACTCAACTCTGTGCTAACGAGGCATACCTATCAATAAAACAAAATGCTTCGGAACAGTTAAAAACAAAGGAATAAGCATATCTTCTGCATGGTTCAAGACAGTCATACATTTTGGCAAACTGAACCTTTAGGGGGGGGCAGATGAGCTGTCATGCCCACACTGTGGGGCCAGATATGGGCAAGCTGGGGTTCCTAGAGCCAAGTGGACATTCCATGACCAGATGCACGGCTTTGAACTAAAGCGAGGAAACTTAGTAGCAGCTAGAGCTGTTAGTTTTCCTAAGGGAAGAATCATAAAGAACAAGGACAGAAGAACGGGCAGAGGAACAGCAGGTACATGCAAACAGGAAACCAGGGATCATCATCTTGGTATGAGGCATGGCCCAAAGCCATGAAACAAGATGAAGAAGGACACTTGATAACACTATAACCGTTATTACCTATTCACCAAATAAGAAGCAGCCATTTTCATAAAGCAGAAACTAGGAGACGCAAAGAAAAATAAAAACACACCAATAACAGGAGCATAAACTCACCACTCTCAGTCCACGATAGTTCAAGGTAACAAAAAAATTAAGGTTGTAGAAGACTTAATAAAATAATTCATAAGGAAGCTTTTATGAATATGTGTCAAACCTGCAACCCAATATCTACTGAAAAGACCTAGAAACAAGAAAAAATCCAGTCGTCCTGAGCATGCTCAACACCCAGATTGTGGTTTCTAATTATTATTTTTTTCAACAGAAGGAACCAGGGCTCTTTGGAGAAATAGCTGATTCCAGGTCTGGTGCAGGACATGTAGAAAATGAACATGGAAATTCTTATCATCCCAGAAAACAAGAAACCTACCAAAAATTGCTTGTGTCATGGCACGGAAGTCAGGGGGCAACTTCAAAAGGCTCCCACTAGACAAATATGGGAGAATTTGAGCATTAATAATAACAATAATAATAATAATAATAATAAAGGCAATGGAAGGAAACATAGTACTTATGTTTGAACCCATGAGTTCATAGTAACATTTTTTAAAATTCGTTGGTCATCTGTGAAAACTGTTAAGGAACCACCTCATTATTCTGATAACCAGTAAATACAAGGTGGAAAAAAGTGAGTATTTCTCCTGCTTTTCTTGTGTGCAGTGTATTAATATTTCAGAGTAACCAAATAGTTAGGGAGGGGACTTTTCTCTTTATAGAAGTATTCTAGCTAGTAAATGAAGAAGAAAAGAATTGAAGTATTGCCATTTTGAAACCCCCATGAGAATAAATCCTGGCAACCATCATCAATGACTGCTAATGTCACAAAAAGAGGGACATTGTGTGCCTTCCAACGGAAGCGCATGACACACCTATGAAATATTCCTGTAAAAAAAAAGTCCAATCTGAATTGGATCGAACCTCTAGATCTCAATACCAGTTTATGGATAATACAGATGACAGAGACACAAGTTCAATGATATCATAGGGGTGCCACTGACAATACACATCAGCAAAAATGACCTAATCCTAAATCTAGTGGCGGTGTATGACCTTATCTGAATCCTGACTCAAACAAATTGTTCTTAAAATTTTGAGACATCCATGAAATGTGAATACTAACTGAATAGTCCTATTATATGAATAAATAATTTTTAACTTTTAGGTGTGGTAAGGGTATTATGCATATGGTTATGGTTAAAGGCATCATTATCTTTTGGAGATGTATTCTGAGAGAGCGCCGAATCCTAACCACTAGACCACCAGGGAAGAACTGGAGATGTATTCTGAAATAGTTATGAATGAAATGATATGACACTTAGGAATTGCTTCCAAGTAATCTTTAGAGGGAGTGGGTAACAATATACGTAAAACAAGAAAGCCTTGAGTTGATAAGTATTGAAGCTGAACATTCATTAAACTTGCTACTTTTGTATAACATTTTTTCATAATAAAAATAATTTTTTTGAAAAAGAAAGGCAAATCATTTACATACATATTTGCTTTTCTTGCAAAACAATGCGGGAAGGATTAACTATCGTGACCTATAGAGAATGAGTTAGGGATGGGGCAAAAGGGTAGAAATGGGAGCAAAAACCTGGAGCACATCTTTCTTTATAGAATTCTCAGCTTTTATACCAGGTAAATTTACACATTCAAATACTTTTAAATGATAAGATTTTTTCAATCTTTAAATTGAATACAAACAGCAAAAAATGACCTAAAATGTTATCAGATTGATAACAACCACAGAGAGAAAATATTTTGAACATGGAACTCTGGCTTAGTGATATCTCATCTAAGAATAATAGGACTGCAAAAAAAATCTTAAACAGTACTTAGTTTATTGTTAACAGTAATATTGGTATTGTAATTCTGAAATAATTTTATGTGTGTTATAGGATAAAGCAAATAATAAATTGATGTTAATTAGCACCAAGATGTTATCTGTAAGATGTAAATATGCAATAAAATAGGTTAATAAAAATCACAATATTAAATTTGAATTGGAAATATTTACATGATTTCATGAAATTTAAAATACATACTTATTTCCTAAAACTGTCCATTGAAAGTGTCCAAAAGCAACGATACCCAAGTAGCAAAGCAACGGTCCCACTAAACATCCAGTTCTTAGTTTCTTTTCTCCTTTTTTTTATTGTTTTAAGGCATGGGACTATAACCCCAAGTAAATATTTTTTCTTTTACTGTTTTTAATTGAGATATAATTGACATATAACATTATATTCATTTCAGGTATACAACATAATAATCCTATATTTGATCACCACAATAAATGTATTTGACATCCATCACCACACCTAGTTACAATTATTTTTTCCAGTGTGAGCAGTTGCCTTAATTTTTTTTTATTTTTATTTTTTTAAAGATTTTTATTGGTGAATTGGGGGGATGGGAACAGTGCTGGGGAATTGGGGGAAGGGGGACAGACAAGTTGCTGTCGTTTTGTTCTTCAGTTTAGTTGTGGAGGATGTTGCTTCACTGGCCCAAGTTGGCACCATCATTGCGCTCTTCCCG